CGCGCGCGATAACCACAGCTGCGCGCAATTACGAGCGGCAGAGCCGCGGATTTTCTGCCGCGGCACGTATATCACTTCGCGGAGCGGCACCGCTCTTGTTTGCTTAACTAAGCGTCTTAACGAATTGCCGGAGACGTGCGTCTCCGGCAAGTCGGGGGGCCAAAGCTCACCTTAACGACACGACGAGGGGAAGGGTGAAACGGAACGGAGGCGGAGAGGAAGGACACCTCTCTCTCTCTCTCTCTTTCTCTTTTGCTGGCGATCGATCGCAGGTGACATCCGAGTTAATTGCGTTCCCGATGTTGCGCGTCTTGCGCAATATCGCAGATATAACCTACCTACGAAAACGCTCGCGGCACTCTGGACGTCGGACGACAATTGATCCTGGTGCCGTTTCCGCCCGGCACCATTTCGAAATTCGACCCTATTTTCACGTTGCGAAATCATCAATCCGAGAGCATCGGAAGCATCCGATTGTTTAATTAAAAACTTTATTTTTTTTTTTACATGCTACTTTATGAGCATAATTGATTGTGCGCGCGCGTATTACGTTATACTGCAATGTTATCTCGCAATAACCAACTTTTTTAATTACAATTCGCATTTAACCAAAGTCTTGTGTAACAGACAGCTGTATGACGGTTATAAACAAAGGAAAAATAAATATCCTTTTACACAAACAAATGGCGAAAATCAAATTATTTCGAGCGTTAAGCCAGGCAATTAAGCGAGACGCCGCTGTTGGAGGAACGTTTTACGTTTTAAAGCACGGCTTTAAATGAATCCAGCGAACTGAATTACTCATGCAAGATCCTTTAAGATATCACATTAATTTTTGTTCGCACAAAACCATATAAAACGATGTTTATATCGTTATGTGGATTGTCTTTGTCCAAGCTCGTGACTTTAACAAATATTTCATATCTTTGTAACTACGTTTTAATTAATTTTCACTTAAAAAAAGTGCCTGTCGTTGCAGCGAGACTAATATTCGCGTGTAAAATGTATTTTCGGTAAATACGTGTATCGCGATGTTTGATCGATCGACAGTTTTATTTACGGATGGCTAAAACGCTTTTAATTTTGTCAAACAGGTATTTCACGAAATTCTGTCTTTCTAAAAATAAAATTATTTCTTATATCGTGTTATTTTCTAACGAATCTATCCTTTTCTATGATGGCGGGAATTAATAAGTCCTAAAATAACACATAATATTGTACGATATTAAAATTGAAACTAAGCCTTTCGGAGATGGTATTACCAGCCTTCATTCGATCAGTAGACGGATTCTATTCGCTTCTACCATAGCGATATATGTCATGGGAGATGACGGAAGGTCGCAAATATTGTAACACTTGCGCACATGCGGCATGCGATTCGCGGACAACTGTAACAACAGAAGAAGGCGTCAATTAAAATTATGGTGACCATCTGTCACAATAAAGACCGACACGTCGCGACCGCGAATTGTTCCGTGCGTAAATCCGCCCGAAACTGCGTAGCGCAACCTTTTTTCCATCGTCCGCGCGCGTAACACGCGCGGGGGAGGGTAGATTGATTGATGAACGACCGTAGAAGAATCGGAGAGCGTTGTTACGTGACCAGAATATGGGCTGTTGACGCTTTTATTGCCCGATAGTAATCGTGGGCAGTGTCAGAACAACATTCTTCATTACTTCTTTGCAATCAGATAAATTAGATTATTTCTTTAATTGGATCAAGTCGAGTTTAATCGTTTTCGATCACGTTATAATCGCGAAATTTAAAATTCGCAAAACCGAAATCAATAGAAGCGCGAGATGAGAAATTAATTATACTTTTTTTCTTGCAAAATTTTGTAATCAAAAAAGTTTTCCAGCTCTTTGTTATTGTGTGAATTTTTAATTACATCGGACTTGTGTTTCTTTTCTATACGTTCTTCGTCACGAACTTAAACAATTACTCAGTCGACATAAAAATTACGAGCAGATTTACGTTGCAATTAAATGGGATGCGATAGTTTCGAATTTATTATTAGCGCGGGGAGGCTCGTTTTATTATTGTTCACGCGAAATACATTCGCGCGATCTGCACCGGAAACCGAACGGTGGCTCCCGCCGAATTTCCCGGCGCAATTACGCGCACGTTAAAACCCGACGGCATTTGGCGATGCAGTTTCGCGCGAAAAATTATAGCGAGTCATCCGTGCGGCCGTTTCTTGGACGCAACGAAGGGCTCGTTTGCATTTCACGTTAATAACGGGACCATGTGGCACCGAAGGCAGCCTGCTGCCAGAGCTGTGCGCGTCAATAAAATAAAATTCCATCCGGTAGGAACGGGCGGCGGTGCGCCACGTGGATCTTAAAGATTACTCCCCGTTTCCGCATTCGTGCCATTTAATTTCCCTTCCCGTGTAATTTTGCTCGCGTCGAACCGAAAATATTACGGGGGCTCATGCAAATCGCGCGGCCCTAAATCGATTTATACATACGCGACGGTAATAAATCGCGCGAGAACGTCTAACTTTTTTCATAAATCAAAGATACGATCGCGCGCGCGCGCGCGTGCGAGTGTCTGTATCTATTCCAATATCATCGTATTGAACATTGTGTTGCATTCGTTTACTGTGATATTTGTTGTACGATTAAACGATGTCTTTGTAATTTTTTTGTTCGTTTATTTAAATTTATCAATTGATCGTACCGACAAGTTGTTAATTTTTTTCTCTTTCTCTGGGAAAGAGAGAAAGAAACAGAGAACGAAAAACCAATTTTCGTGTATGCACGCGGAACGTGCCGCGTAAAGAGAAAGGTTGATTACTATAATCCAATGTATAGTCAGTAAAAATGGTGCAGCTGTTCGGATTGTTCATTATGATTATTTCATTCAGCGAGTGCCATTCAATTTCCTTACGGCCACGTTGTTTCCGGTGACACGGTTTTGTCTTCGGACATCGAATGTGGCACATGCACGAAATGCAGTACCGATACATGTGATTTTGCTTAAGATAATGTCACTGTTGCATCCGGTGTAACGCTTTATGCATGCAAATGTATTAAATTCTATTTATCAGAGAGAGATTCTTTCATGTAGTATTAGAGACAAGAAACTCATAATAAGAGATTAATATATGATTGCCTTTAATTTGAAATACCTCTGATATGTGTCTATAACTTAATATAAACTAAAAATTAAGTTTATGCATGTAAATATATATGTATTTGACATATGTATTCTTATCAATGGAAAATGCATCGCATATTATGGAGGAGACATAAGTACAATTAACGATCTGATATTGCGACGGTAATCCGCGGGAAAATTTATTCGTAGATTTGTTCGCGCGGTAGTTCTTGCGGAATTATGAAAAAAGGAACCGAACGTTCGACTACTTTTAATGCCGGACGTCGGCACGGAGCGCCGCGCTCGTAAAAGTCCCAGCAACGCGATTACCGTAATAAATATGAAACGAGATCTTGCATCGTAAGCACAAGGGGGAAGGTAAAGGAAGAGGTAGCCGCGGAATGTAACGCGAGCGTGAGCGGAGAAAAGAAGTTAAGTGCACGACGTTGCGTACAGACGTTTACGCGCGACGCGGTATCGTTGCGGTACCACCTGTCAAGCCGATGTAAATCTTCACGCTTAACGACTCCTAGCGCGTGTCTCATCGCCGACGACCGACAAACGTTCTCAGAGAGAACTCTTACTTCCGCGCGATTTGCTCGAAAAATTTAATGAGCAGATCTTATTCTCTATAATTTAATTTTTAATTTATCTGTACTTCGCGGGATTTACTGGAGCTATACCGCGCGCCATGAAAATCTTAATACTGCAAAAGTACTTAAAACACCCATCTGTAAAACGCTCATGCGAAATTAGTTCGTGGGAATTGCGGATCTTTCAATAACGTTATTACAGATGTAGATCGGGGAGAGTGCACTTCGTAATGAATAGATGTTTAAAAAGTATTTTCCAATAACTTGTATAAATATACAAGCCCGGAGTAAACGACATTCCAATTCACTAGGCTATACCTAAAGATTTATTTCAATTCGACTTTAACAGATTTAAAATCCAATTTTAATTTTCTCAGTTAGAGAAGGTTTTTAACGTGCAGTTGAAGATTAACAATAGTAAAATCAAGTTTTAAAATAAAAATTCTATTCCGGCAGAGAATATATGTGTATAACACATTGGTGAGCAATCATTCGCGATACGCGGCATACCTATATTTGCTCTAGTCCGGCGAACATTTGCGGAGGCTTTTCGTGATGGTCCATTTGTAGGCGAGCGCAGGCCAAAAATGAACGCGGGGGCGAGAGCGATCAGTTATGGGCGGCAGCGCGTCCGCGGATCCCCAATAATTCCGTGCTCCCGCGCCGTGACGGATCTTTGTTGGTTTGTAAAACTAACGTCCGTACATTCCATTAAAACGGCCATCGGTATGCGCGGCAACGATCCCGTCTCGCCGGGCACGTAGACGAAACATGCGGCTGGCGCGACGCTCTCATGAAATGGAATCAATCAAATATGAATCGTGTGCACGCGCGATGACGTGCATATAGGCGACCCTTTCACCCCTTCCTCCCCCCTCAGACTCTCCTTGCTCGTTTTTCCGCACGTCGTCGCGACCCGAGTCCGAAATCTGGTCGAGAGCAGGTGGCACGTCCGCGGAAGTCGCGGATAGAAAAGGAGCTATTTATCTTCGATTACAATATTTTGGTGACGTAAGATTCTTGTAAAGCTTTTTTTAAAAGAAACGGAGGAAAAAAAGAATGGAATTACATATTTACGTATTACAGGCTAAAATTCACTTTTCTATTGTTTTCCTTCTTCTAATTTCTTTTTCATTCCTTCTTTCCTTCGAATTCCAAATTTCCCCGAATTCCTCACGGAGTGTCCCGTTCTCGTTGTCACATGTAGTTTCCGATAACTGTCCTCGCCAGGGTCCCGACGTGAGGGGGCGATTAACATATTTAATTTATGCCGTCGCCCGCAGGTGAGAAAGCGGCTCGCGAGCATGAAAGTGGAGGGCGGAGTGGCAACGACGACGGTCCTCCACAAGGTCAAGGTCAAGGAAGAGACGAAGGAATGCTGCGGCGGCTACCAGCAGGCCTCGCCGTCGTCGGCCACGTCGACGGCCACCACCGCGACCGTCGCGACGCTCACCGTCTCGGCCGCGACGGCGATCACCACGACCGTCACAAACAACAGCAACGGCGTCTCCACCGTGAACGCGAATCCTTCCACGACCACCACGGTGGTCGTCGCCGCTCCCGCCGCCTCCGCCGCCACCCCCGCTCCGCAGTCGTCCAGCATTATCTGCCATCCGCCGACGACCGTCTCCAACACCGTCGACTCATTCCCGGTCGACCTCGATCTCAAGGCCAAGAGTAAGGGTGAGTATCTATTACCCTCATGGCTGAAAAAAATATCGATTGCGTGTGACGTTGGTGGAAAGCACAACAGTGACCCGACTCCGTGCAGGTGCTCGCCACGAAGAGACATCGATCCTCGTACGGCTCGTATACGTAAAAAAGTCGATTATCTTGAACAAAAATGTTTGATCTTTTTAAAATAGCTTCCAATTAAGTGTACTGTATGGCAGACGTCGTTTCGTCACGAATGAATATTTTCTGCTTTCCGCCAAAGACGATCGATCCGGTCAGATCAACCTATTTGCCAATGTGAGACTATCAATTTGTATTGATCTATCGTTTCCTCGCCGTGGTCTAGTTTCGCCGTAATGTCGTGTGCTTTGCAAAACGTAAACTGACATATTTCAGATCCTTGATGTGACACAGTGGAATTAAGTGGATTGCTGTTTCGCGATTTATACGTGGCTATATATCGGAGTCCTCTCATATCGCATTAAAAGGCGCAAAAATATAATGATCGAAATATATATATATGAAACTTTAATCGCCGCTATTTAACACAAACGATCATTATTGCTTCATATTTAATGTATGAAACTTTAATCGCCGCTATTTAACACAAACGATCATTATTGCTTCATGTTTAATTATGACGCGGTCACCGGTGATTCGAAGTATCTCGTTGCGTACAGGAATATATGTGACGTTTCGGAGTTGTTTAATATCCTCTTAACTTCCATCACAGTCGGCAATATGTTGTAATAACGCGTCGGCGGAGTGACACATGTCGTTTAAAAATTAACAACCTAGTGGCCACTCTATAGTCTATTTGATCTATCGCACGGCCGTAAAAAACAAATCGCTCGGTGCAGCCCCAGCTGAATCGCACCGGCGCGGCGAGTTCGCTATTCTATTAATTCGGGATATCGACGTTTCTCGTTTCGAGAGCGCGTCGATGGGTGTAGCGCGCACAGGTGCGGTAAGTGTAGTTTATCTAATTTCAGATTCGCATTGCGGTACATTACCTTCTTTTTCCTTTTTTTCTTCTTCGTCCTTAAACGCGGATTTCAGTGCTTAGCGCGCGGCCAGTCAGCCCGTCACGCTGTCGCTTACAATCTGTCACTTGCCAAGATTGTATACCATGTGACAGCCAATTTTAAATACGCGCTCTGACGAAATTATTAAGTTTTTTAATTAAACCGGCTACAGGCAGTGGCAATCGTAAAAAAAAGAATAATATTTCAATTCAAGTGGATAAAAGTACCGTGTAGCAAACTCTACGCGCGGCAGACGCGATGTGAAGCCTGTAAGTTTAATGCGAAAACAATAGGCGTGTATCAACTTTAAAACATACAATTTCTCTTTCAACATTTTGTCACTCGTCACAGCTTTAAAAAATAAGAGAGTTTTTTTAAACCTGCAGCTCTAATTTAATCATTCCACAAGTCCGATCCCAGCCCGGCAGATCGTGCGACGCTCTTTCTCAACGAGCGTCCCCCCCCCCCCCGGAAGTTGACCCCGATCCTCGAAACTGAAAATTAAAAGAAACGACCTCGCCGATGTCCGCGCGAGAGCCCACGCTGTGGGCGCGTCGTACATTAGTTCGGAATATTGCATGGCGGTACCCGTATATCCAGTCCACGCGCTCTCGCTCGAATCGTACATTCAGCCCGAGCCGGTTATCTAGACGAGCGGCGAGCCCGCAGCTAACTTGGAAACCGGGGCTCAGGAAAAAAGCCCCTTCTGGCACATCAAAGCCCGTCATCGCGTCCGAGCGCCGCCGCGCCGGGTCCTCTCTCACTCCCTCTCGGCTCGTCTCAGAATCGTTTTTCGTTGACGTGACGCTACACAAGATCGGCATAGAAGTGTCGACGCGAGGTGTGCCGAGGTTCGCCCGACGATCGATATGATTACAAAATCTTATACAAAAATATAGAAACTCTCGATGTATCGTATAAAAACGTAAATTGACATATTTCAGATTCTTGATGTGACACAGTGGAATTAAGTGGATTGCTGTTTCGCGATTTATACGTGGCTATATATCGGAGTCCTCTCATATCGCATTAAAAGGCGCAAAAATATAATGATCGAAATATATATATATGAAACTTTAATCGCCGCTATTTAACACAATCCTAATTAGGAGGAAAACTCTATTTTACATTATTATCATTACGTACTTTGTTGACTGCAGTTAACGGGCTCGGGCGGTTCTGTACACGTCTATCGCGGTCTTTAGTACGAATTTAGGTGCATAGAAGCATACACGTACACGTGGATGGGTGTGGATATGTATGCGAAAGCGCAATGCAAGAGATTGCAGGCTAGAGAGGGAAAGAGGGAGGAAGGGGGCAAGAGAGAGGAAGAGAGAGAGAGAGTATGCTCCGTGGGGGATGATGGCGAAACTCCTGCGAGCAGTCAGTCAACTTGGTTGGCTGGCCCGGTGTGTGTCGGTTAGGTTCGTGCGCCGCCTGACTGCCTGGTCCAGACGCGATAAGGCACGTCCGACACTTCCACTGGGATTCTGCTCGGGGCTGATATCATATCCGCCCGCGCCGCCGGGGGATCCCCGGCGCTACGCCGTTCGAGGTGTATTTCGCGATAGTCACCCGCACACCGCGTGTACTTACGGGGGTGCGGCTTACGACCTGGAGCTCGTCCTCGGCGTATACGTCCTCCCGCCTTTCTCCTGCGCGCGAGAGACCGAGGGGTTCTTCTCGTAAAACTGAGGGGCTCACGATTATCAGGCGATGACGGGAGAATAAGTTAGTGACACGAGCGCTTCAAAATGTCTCATGACGTTACTTAGTTTAGATGTACATACGAGAGTAGGTAGCTAAGCCCCTTTTAAGGCGATGTTTAGTTTAATTAGGATAACGAAAGTTATCCCGAGGTTGCCTCGTTAAACTATGATAAAACTAGATCATTTAACAGTTTTTCTTCAGTCGATTTCCATAATTATATAGTTAGAAAATTAATCGAGGCTGAATCGATTCTTTGTCTTTGCGTAATTCTGCTTTCTGAAAGGGGAGACAGGAAATAAAATTAAATCATAATTAGCGTTCGTCAGTCGGTTATTTTTAATTAAAATTTAGAGGAACAGTCCGTATGCATCTCCGTGTTTAGCCAAGTTAAAAAAAAGGACATTAGACATCGTGATGCGTTAACTTTCAAGTGTGCAACCGATCAGACGGGAACAGTGACCAGGATGAAATCCGAGGATGACGTCCGCGGTCCTTAAGTGGTACGCTTGTCTGCGAGATGAAATCGAACACATGGAGTCGCGAGATGTCGGGATCGAATCGTGGCGGGGAGGAGGGGCCCCGCGAAGAAGGATGCGAGAAAAACGGCGACGGCGGCGGCGACGGCGGAAGAAAGGGGAGCTCTGTTCAGGATGAGGGAGAAAGAGAACGAAGGAGAATTCGAGAGCGGGAAGACCGTGGGTAGGGATTGCGATCAAAGCCATCTGTTGCATTGTCCCGGCAATTAGGAGGCGACAGCTGAGTCCCACCGTACTTACTTCCAGCCAGGGACTCTCAGCCGCGTGGAGCACGTGCGCTTTATCGATCTCGCTCTCTTCGTTGCCCCGTCGAACGTCGCCCACGAAGACCACCTTGCCCCGTGCGGAACCTTGCGTGTATTGGGCTCGGGTGCGTAAACCCGGACGCTAATCCGGATTGCAGTTGCAGTTAGCAGCTACGATTAGCAGGCGCGCTGTACTTATTCTTTTGTGAACTGTATATAGTACAGTGTCGTCTGTGTCAGCGCGTGAAGTAATTTTATTTTTACGAACTAAAACATTTTTGGCGCAATTTCAACGAATCTACATTGGCGACAATACTTGTTGACAGCGGCATCATCATTCTCGCGTTTTCGCAGAGATAAAGAATACCGTTAGACAGGCTTTACTCGGAAATTCTGATTTGCCTTGTAAGATAAAAATTAAATCCCCATTAAATCGACAGTCTGCTTACAGAATCTCTAGATAATTAAATTTAAATCTTTAGATTTAATTAGAATTTTTTAGAACTTAAAACGTATCAGAAAATTTTAATCTCTCCTCTTTGAAGAGGATTTAAAACTATAAGAGGATTTAAAACTAATTATATTAAAATTCTGCAAGTAGATACTAACTGTTGATAGAGATTTAAAAACTGCTAAAGTAGTACAAAAAAAAAAGAAAAAAATTTTATGACATAAATTACAACTAACATAAACTGACTAACAGTCTCATATTTTTGTAAAGTCATATATGAAGTTCGCAACTGCAAAAACAGTAAGGATCGCTGTATAAGCGTAACTGCTAATTGCGCGAATGGCTCACGTCAGTAACAGTGCGGCGAAAGTAACTCGGGGAAGGAACGGTTGATTGACGTAATAGTTTGCGGCGAACTTCTTCATCGTTGCGGAATGTCTGGCCGTGATGCGTGCCGCGAAGAAATGAGGAGCCTCGGTAAGAAACAATTTGATGCACGAGAGATATCGGTATGTTAAAGACGTGCGCGCGCGTGCGCGAGCACAAAAATCCATTTTTACAACTCGTATTTAAAAGCACTTATACGTCGTAAAGTCTGATTCTTATTGCATTATGTAATGCAATTTCAATACTGATTGTGGAAACTGAAAATGGGACAGTTACATCTCGCGCTATACGGATGCCGCGCAGACGTGAGCTGTTAGAATATAAAAATTCGGATGTAATTCGCGCGACGCCAGATTTACGGACGAAATTGTGCATCGTTCGAATATGCAGATATTATTATGGATAACGGATATTTTCTCGGGCTGAACTCAGAGAAAAGTTCGCCCGCGGCATCGGGCGGCCGTGACGCTTCAGATGCGACGCTGCTTCGGGACCCGCACGTGTGTGTGCGCGCATATGGTCCGCAAGGCCAGCCCACATGGGTAAACTTTGATTTTCTACTGCCGACGAAGACAAACGGGGGCTTCGCAGAAAAATGGCGCGCGGTTATCCGAAATTTTCTACAGTATTCTTTTACGTACACATACTGAAATTCTGTGACACCCATACTGCGTGCTGGAAAAAGCTTACGGAAAAATGCTACAAATAATTTGATAATCACCATATTTACGTCACGCTTACCCGGGGATTTATTAAAATTAATTATTAAAATGACTTTTGTGTTAGAAATTCCATTTTTGATAGAAAATCAATAAAATGTGCAAACTAGATTGGCGTTTTTGATATTTTTTAAATAGAAATATCTGCGGTTAATCGTTATACATTTCTCGCGGATCGCCAAAGCTCTCAACTTTAAATCCATCTCTGATCGCTATTATATTATCAATTGTTATACACGACAAAAAAAGAAATGACGGCCGAGCGACGTGCGGTTCGCTCGGCGATATCGAATGCGGCCGCGGATGCTCGTCACGATCAAAGGAAATCGGCGAAGGAGAGCGTTTCTCCCGATAAGCTTCCGGGGACGGTGCGGAGCGGAGCGACGTGCGAGAGACAAGGACGGAGAACCGCTGCAGGAAGTAACAGCTGGCCGAAGGGATAGCAACATCAGCAACAGCAGCGGCAGCAGCAGCAGCGGCGGCGGCGGCGGCGGCGGTGGCGGAGGCGGTGGTAGCACAGCGCGGCAGTACCATTACCATCATCCAGCTAGATACCTTCTCTCCAGGTTTCTTGTACATACGGGCACATACAGGCGCGCGTGCACACATACACACACACACACACACACACATACGCGCGCGCGCATACGAACGCGAAAGACGCGCGGCTGCATCGGCGCAGCCGGGAAGATTGCACTCGTCACAAGAGAGTTGAGTGACAGTCGCGTGCAATCACAACGCGACGCTGATTAAACATTCGCGTGTCGCGCACATGCTCTCGCACGCCGACGGTCTTTAACCTTGGCTATAACATGCACGGAGAACTTTGACAAACGTCGGACTTCGCCGCGGCATCTGTATACCCAATAAGACCCAACGTCCACGTCTTCGTAATACGCGCGTCTCCCGGTGTACCACACAGTCTAATCCCCCGTATTTTTTCCATCTTTCCCCCCCGTACAGCGTTTTCAACCGATTTTCGTTAACCGTTACGGCAAGATTAAATGGCAATACATCACGGGTATGTGTGACAACTGACATTACAATTATTTACCCGCCGCAGTAACGGAATAATAATACCGCAACATATCATACGGCGCAATAATCATGTTTGTTAATTACTTCATTACAATCTATTTACATAATTACATTGTTCATGCGTTATTTGCATATCATTATACCGCGCGTATAATTGTAATTATAATTTTATTTGAGGATACGGCGCGCGCTAGCGTCCGGTCCGAAATTTTTCGGAACCGGAAGGAGCGATCGGCGCGCGCGCGCGAGAACTGTGTATGTGTTCGAATTCGTCGTGGGTGTAATCAATCTTTGTTTTATCGCGTTGCCCACTTAATCGTCTGGCGCGATATTGAGACATCATGATTCGAAAATGGATGGATCCCTGGATGCTTGCACCCGCATAGATGCCATCGTTGTACCGCGGAGATGCATTGCCACGATTTCGTATCGTAAAGTCATCGTCATTAGAGAGGCAATCGTTCTATCAGCTCACCCGGCTGTATTTAATCGTCTCCCCCCCCCCCTCCTCTCTCCCCCGAATAGAAACGGACGGAAAATTGTCGCGATTCGATAAATTCGGCGTGGCACTTGTTCCGAGCGTGTGCGCGTGTGTAGTAAAGAAAACGCTTGCAGCAATTAATTAAATCCGTGTCTGGTGTTTTACTTTGACTTGCACGATTGTCACGCGTAAAACGACATCAGCGTTAATAAATCGCATGCGAATAAACATCAGCGGAGAGAGACAGAGAGAAAGAGAGAGAGAGAGAACGGGTGAACATTTATCACATATTTATGGCGTATTACAATCGAATAATATTATTACAAATGTTACGTCTGAATTTACAGATCGCAATTAAACATGCTGTCCTACCCGTTTCGCCCATCAGCCGGCAAATTAATTCGCCGATAGATAACAGAAAGAAGCGCGTGACAAATCGTTAACAAACCGACGAGAGAGAGAGAGAGAGAGAGAGAGAGAGAGAGAGAGAGAGAGAGAGAGAGAGAAAGTATTAGCGATTTATCGTACACGCCGAGAGAACGTGTATACGCGAAAGAAACCTGCGGCCGAGAGGTCGTAATAATAATCGCCACACGTAATTGCGATTTCGTATCAAAACGACAATTGCTTTTCGCGGAAATTTTTCTATCGCTCTCATTTTTTTTCTTCTTTACTCGGCCGGTTCCGGTTATCGCGCGGAGGGTATAAGCAAACGCTATTTTCGCAATCGCCACTCGCGATCTTCCCGCCGGCGGCCCGCGACGGCAGTTACCGAGACCATCGAGGGGATTTTTCCGTGGGATATCACGGCGGCGGCGGCGGCCGGCGCGGCGCCCCGTGTAACCATCTCGCCTTTATGCAAGCGGCGGAAGGCGCTTGTGTGTACTCAGGCTCCCCCGTCATATCGCATAAGCCGTGAGGTAGTTTAGTTTGTCGAGAGTTCAGGTACAGGTAATTACCTACTGGCTACCGGCGTCAGGTGGTAGTGACACGGTAGCGTCGACCTCCTCCTCGTTCTCCTCCTTCTCTTCTTACTTGCGCGCAGTATCTTCTCTCCTCTCTCTCCTCTCCCTCTCTCTCTCTTCTTCGACACACCTCGGCCTTGTATTCGCGCGTACCCACGCAAAAATACCTCGTGACGATCAGTTCCATTAGCTTAATGGGACTATCCTTTCCCGTCGATAGATTGACCGTCTTATCTGACGGCCCTCACGTGCGTTATAAGCGCAAAGTTCGGCTTTCGCATTAATTATTCGGCGCCTCATCCGTTATTGCTTAAAATCTGGAGGTTAATTATTCCGACGGTTGTTGTTGCGAGAAGGGCCCGAGTTTTCAGACAAGCCAATAATCGGTCGCAGAAAGCCATTTATAATCTACGAATCCGATAGTTTGTGTTGGATTAATTACTATATCGACTTGTAAACATGTGCTGTCGTGCCAGCTTATAGCCTTACGTAATGTTTTATGGGATACCTCTTTAATTATGAGGTGGTCATGCGCTCATGTATATAAATGTCGCGATGTAAAAAAGTTCTTTAATACGAATTTATTACGATAATAACGCTTCGCGGATGTAACTGTCATTTCGTTAATGCCGCTCCATCACTGACGTGTTCTAGAAAACAAAGAAGCGAGTAATAATTGTAATAATTATAGTAATAATTTCCTCCGCTAGAATAGCGGAGGAACTTATATACAAATTATATATTTTCAAATCATTTTCCATTTTTTTCAAATAACTTCGCGGTGCTATTGCCTCTGACGTTATCCCTGACATTTTCGTTTTTTGTATAGTGTTTAATTAATTAATTAATTAATTAATAATTAATTTTGTAACTCTCCAATATTTCATTTTTATAATATTTTTACAAAATATTTATGTCCAAATCACATTAACGTTTTTTTCTCATTCGCCTCTATTCCTACGCGCGCTAGACATTTGTAGTTAACGTACAGGCATATCTACATAATAAATTAGATAAAGATTAAAAGTTTCTGTTGAACTAGGATTTAGAATTTCATCTTCGCACGCGAGCGAAACTCGAGTTATAAGTAATCTAATTGTGATGCCGCGACCACAATCGGTCGATTGAACAATTGGGGGGGTACCTCTCGATATGCAGCGCGTCGAAGGAACTCGCCGAGGGGGCCGCCCTCGCAGGATTTCCCGTCGCTGGTATATATATATATATATATATATACGATCGACGTTGTTACGAGGGCCGCGCGTCACGGGGGCTGGCGCCTGTAACGTTTCGTTATCGGCATACTCGGCATGCTCCCGTCGTTTTCGCCACGCATGCCGCAGGCGTTCCACGAGAGATAACGCGCCGCGCGCGCGCGGGCACAGGGAACGGGGACAAGACAAGGTAGATGACACGGCCCGTAATTGCATGTTATCCGTTGCATCCACGCGCGGGCGTGTCCGCGTGCCTGGGCGCGCGTGGTGCGCACACACATATATACACACGTGTACAGGTATGTACGTACGTGTGCGCTTGTGCGGAAGAGTGTTTGCGCTACCGGATCAGGCTGCCCGTTCCACGTGCCCTCGTGCCTGACGTCCCGGTCCCACGGATACGCGACACAAAGGACGTTTGTGGCGGCGCCGTGCTTTTCCGAGCTTGTACCGGTCTCTTTCGTTGTTACAAATGTAAATAATGCCTGGCGCGCACCGAAATGCCCGTCCGCGGTTTTATCGTGTCTATAGGATCGTGTATGTATGATCCGTCGTTGGAGTCGCCTGGATCAAGTCACGCGATGAAATAGCCTTCACCTTTGATGTCGATCGAGGCATCGATTGGCTGTTTTTATATTGATGGCTGTAAACCAACTTTTTATCTGTTAATATCTCTCCGAGAGAAAAGCTTTCAATTAAAAATTCAAATATCAATTCAATGTTTCCTTGGTCTACCAGATGTTTATATACGATTTGTTAGATTTGATGCGTATATAACTTCTTTTTTTACCTTTTAGTAGGTTTATAATTATAATGACTAATGAGTTAATGGATTAGATATTTTATTTATAATTACGATATTTTAATAATAATAGCAAGTTAAGCTGCTATGCAGTTAAGCTCGTCTGCTTTGCAGACGAATAAATAAAAAAAAAATTAGATCTTATAAGTCGATTTGAACTTAAAATATAATTATCTCTCCAGATTGAGATTTAATTAGAATACTTTTAGAATTTTGAATATTAGTAAATATTGTTACAAAAAAAAACAAGATACTTGAAGGCCGGAACTGGTCCTCATTGCAGGATCCTCCGCAACGCGGGAGAAGTCTTCGCGAGAGGATGCGGTCCAGCCCGAGGCGCACTCGCCCTCTTCTCAGCAGCATCAAAGGATCGGTCAGCAGAAGCAAACGAACGGCCCTCGATCGGAGTACAAAGGCACGTCCGGTTGCTCCAGGTCTTCTGACAACGACAGCCCTTTGCCCTCGCAGTCGCTCAAACCCGAGCTCGAGGAGGCCGCTGCGAACGCCGGGCCCAGGACTACGGACGAGCAGGGCGACGGCGCCGCGCTGGCAAACGGCGGCGCTACCGGTGCGTCCAGATGCGTCAGCGGTATTTTCGCAGGGCACGGCAAGCTCAAGAGGTTGCTGGGCACCCTGGTGCAATTCGCCACCGACATCTCGGCCGACACGGGCGACACGGTGCGCACGCTGGTACTCGCGCTTCTGGTAGGTATAAACGGTATCTCCCCATTCTAAGCGATTTTAATTATCGTAAATTTTTATATTAATTAATTGAATCAAATTAAATCTTTTATCAAGATACTCCTTTGACGACACAGAAATATTAATTTTCTTCTAGCGTGACACATTTACATGGTATGAACCGTTAGCTCATGTTAGCAATCTTTGTTAGTTTATCTTACGTTGCACACCACGTTAGTTTACCGACCATCCTCTCTTACGTACATATAAGTGACTTATACTTATCTTTCTGGATTTATGAATTCTTTCGGTGTATCAACAATAAATGAGATACGCGTACCAGCTGACGGAATGTTTTTTGCGTTGAAATCATGAGATTTGTAGTATGCATCAGCATTAAGTGCATCCGTATAATAAATTATAGGCATTTCTCTTACTTAGCAGATATTGCTCTTTACAATTGTTCACTCTATATCGATGAAAAATTCGTCGTTTTTTACTCGAAGCTGATAATACTTTTACAGCTTTCGTTGTGAAAAAAAGTACTTTTTTTTTAACGAAAATATTTTATCGGTTACATTTTGGCAATGATAATGTCATGAAAATTCGTGGTCCGGTTGTAGCTAACAAGCGTCAGATAACGATTCTGCAATGTGCATGCGTGCATGCGGCACACGGGATGAAAAAAAGCATAGTTAATCGATGCCGGCCGTACCGTGTCGTTAAACAGCTCGTAAATATTCAAAGTACGTACATAATGCATAATGTCGTCGTGTGTACCGAGCGTGCATACGTCCCGGAAACGTGACATCTGGTGACCGTGCTTAACTGTAAAACGATCGCGGCACGTGACAAACGCAAAACCAAATCCAACCAAAGCCGCGCGCGGCGCAACTCGTTCCGGAAACGCGTTTCGCTTCGGCATCCGATCTTTTTGCCGAGGATCGAATTACAACGCGCGGCGTCCCCGCCGCCGGTGTCGTTAATTGCAGAGCGGCAGCATGACCGCGGAGGAGTTTCACTCGGCGTTGCAGGAGGCGACCAACTTCCCGCTCAGAAGCTTCGTCCTGCCGTATCTCAAGCACACCCTGCCCTCCCTGCAGAGGGACCTGAGCAACGCGGCCAGGGCGAATAATCAGGTAACATCGATTTACTGCGTCTTAATATATTTACTGCATTCCCAGCTAAATGAAAATTTAGTTTCGCACGTTTGGAACATAGAAATTCACTCATTCATGAGGCGCAATATTGTTCTTTCGGATGTATAACAATTAGCATTATTATTTTACAATCAATGTTGTACTGCATCATAATGCACTTTTATCTCGAGGTGAGGTTGCTCTTCGGGAATCTGCACTTTTGAACTTTGACGAATACACGCTCGTGAGTTGCAAGGCGAGGAAAAAAAATATCCATAAGAGTTTCCCTATAGATTCGGTGAGGTGCCGTCATGAGGCTGCAATGAGAATAACGGTGACGGCTGATTCATAAGCAGTCCGATGCTTTATTGGAGCCACCACGGCGGTCATAAATCACTGCATTCGTGTGCAGCGCGGCGCGGCGCGTAACGATGCATGAAGACGTGCATTCCCCGCGTTGCAAAAATCGCGGGTCGCGATCTGTCGCAATCAAAATAAGTCACTTGTGCGTAAGTCGGATCGAAATTAAACGCGAAATCTCCTAATTCTTTTATTCATTACCAACGTCGAGTAATTTAGGTTATTATCTGGGATTCGGACTTTTCAAATAAAGATAATTACAGACACAAATATTTCTATTAAAATAATTATTTTGCGATGTCTTGTGCAATTTTTTTTTTGCTAAAAAATCTCATTTGCTATCGTTATTTACTGCATTTAATCGGAAAAGAACGTAACTTGCCATTTCTCTTACCCTCCTTACGTGGTAACTTCGTAAAATCGCGGCAATCCGCTAACAGTATGTGACTTTTCGTACGTGATTTTTATCGCGTTTTCCCGACCGGGATATCGCGGGCGAAATAGGGAGAGACGGACAGATCCAGCACGGCATTACGCCGCCACTCTAAATGGATCGATGTCGCACGTGGCCGACTCGCGTTCCAAGAGTGCGGAGAGCAAGGAAAGATCACCGTCCGCGCAGCAGTTTGTTATGCAGGGACCGGTCCGTGCCCTCTCGAAGATGCCGCACGTGCCTGACGTCTCTCTCTCTCTCTTTCTCTCTCTCCCTCTTTCTTTTTCTCGCTTCGGTCGCGCGCCGGCCCATAAATTTGTATGCACTACTGCGCTCGGGCAAGTGCAACCGCGCCCCCCGAAATCCTTTCACGCGTTCGCTTCCCCGCGACATTGTGGCCAGCATGGAGCCACAAAGTATGCCGTTCAAGATAATAGACGAGTCACCGCAAAGTCACGCACGAGGGGATGTATGTATTTTTATATTTTCCTTCCCCTCTAAAGAAAGATCTCTTTCCTTTTCTTCTTCCCTTTAAAGTCTGCGGAATAAATTATCGTGAATATTGATGGTGGGTGTTGTATGTAAAATTAAATTTTTTTAGTGTTCTTTCTTTTTGGAGTAAACAGATTAATTTCAATTGAAAAATTTAGATTTTTAATTAAAACTTTATAAATTTTGTAGATTTTGGCCATCACATTTTTGTGAAGCAAATTTTTAATTTCTCCTGTTAAAATCGTACATTAAAATAATTTAAGTAATTTTGAAATGCATGTAGCACAGTGCCTGGATTTAGACATTCATATCTCGCAATGAAGTAATGATTAATTATTCATTAGTTATAATTTTAAACCGAGCTTTAAGCGGCTGGTATAACGTCAGATGTCAGTTTCCCAGATTATAGAATTCATTTTCCAAATCAGCGATTACGGCAAGTACATCCGTCGCTTTGTGGCGCTTATTTCTTTGTGGAGAGCTTCAATTTTACCCAATATGACTGTGAAATAAATAATTATTACGGCGACGTACATAAATCGTGCGAAATAATATATAAATGTTATACAATTATAAACTTATAAATTATAGCAAACGATATTTTCATTTCATCAGTTGGAAGCTGTACATCCTCTGTTACGTTCGACGTTGAATAATGCAAGAATTACAAGCGTCTCGTCAGATCGTTACGAGGGAGAAATCGATTTTAAACACGTCCCGGAATCTGCGTGAGAAATTGCGTGTCAGGTCCGGGACATTCTCCCGTACAGCGAACGCGACGCGGAAGCGCGGGAGGACACGGTAAAATCAACAGAGGCAAGGCTGACCGGCTGGCAGGTTGTTTTAATTTCCCAGGCTACTTTCCGATCGTCGGTGAGAGCATGCCAGTCTGTTCCAAGATGGATGAACGATTCACGGACGAGAGAGAGAGAGAGAGAGAGAGAGAGAGAGAGAGAGAGAGGAGCTCCGGCGGAAAAAAAAGCGCTACGATTTTGCCGCTCCCTTCCTGAATCTCTCTCGCAGCGTAAACCCGTTATGATATACACGCGAGATGCGGAGCTCGATAGTCATGCGATACTTACGCGTGATACGCGACACGCGATCACGCACGTACGTTCAATTATTCCGCGAATTACATTCAATTATTTCAGATGAAGTGATAAAAAGTATGTGTATATATATACGTGTAGCCTCGTTGATTCTTGTCTCATCTCGTGTTATCGGGCCTATTTCTGCGCATTAAAAAATTCGGTAAGGTTACGCGGTGATAAATTCCTTACGAAATCCACTTCTTTATATACGAAATAATTTAGGCTTTGGTGGAAAGAATCGCTTGGACCAAGAACCGATTAAATAACGCTGCATTTCAGAGAATTATAAGAGGAGCTCGAAACTGTTCGTCTGTAATGTGTATAATCTCGTCCTTAAAATTATCCTTCGCATACAATTTCTCGCGCTGAATCCGTGGATGTACGATTTAATCCGGTATACTTTGGCCGTCCATGTACGCATCGGCTGGTTTGAATCCAGTGCTTGCAATTATTTATCTGCAAAAAAAAAGAAAAAAAAACGAAAGGAGAGAAGACTCCTACATCGTATTTTATATCGGGCGGTAACGTTTATGCAAATTTACGGGGAATTAACGTTGGAGAAAATGCATTAACGCTTTTATATGCGTTTCCACCGTGGACATACAAATCTGCGGCGTATTAAAATTAAGAGTATTTGCGAAAAAGTACTCGTTTACTTGCGCCGAGCACTTGAGCGCGCACTGAACGTACACGGGACACGCCGCGGGAGCTTGGAATATTTTTTAAGATATAAAAAAATTTACAGATATAATTATGAAAATGTTATGCGACGATGCAAGTTCTGAAACGTTGCAATAGAGATAAAATTGTGTAACAATAATTGAACAAAAGTCGTGTTTGTATATATTGATTTTTTTAAAAATACGATAAAGCATAACTTCCAAATTGATTTTTTAACAACCGTATAGAACATCATTGAGAATAATTTCGTATTAGCGGTGCAACGCGAAGCCCTAATGCGAGGAAGCTCGTTGTATACGATCAATTGATACACCTCGCACCTTTAATTTCCACGACGCCGCGAAATTCGAGCCTGCAGGGAGGATTAATGGGAGTCTTCTCTCGCTTACGCTACTGCCCGCAGCTGTTGCCCGTCTCGAAGGCGAGCGAAACGGAAAGAGTGAGACGCGCCGCGTCGGGCGACAGATCCGCTCAACGGTGGGGTAACGAATTGCAAATTAATAGCGAGCATTTACATTTCTGCCGGCGCGATGAAGGCGCGCACGTGAGGATCGAAAGTCGCAGGCGCACGGGCGCAGCGCGGCGCGACGGCTTGGTTTTCCGCTTTTCCCTTCGCGACATCTTCCCCGACGCGTAACTCGGCGTCATATACATGTAAATCGTCGAAACTCCTCGCGAGATTTGTCTTAAAAATTGTCGAAACAACTGGGAACTAATTGTACCTGGTAGATTAGCATTTTTACAATTCTGGTTATTTACAATGAATGGTTGAGATTTTCAAAGTAATCAGAAATTCTTTCGCATGATCGAAATGATTGATTTTTTGTTGGCACTTATTGCATGATCGTGAGGAATATAAATTATTAGCATCTTAAATTGAAAGAATAAGATATATATATCTATTGAGCATTCATGTTATACTAATTATGTTGGGGCATTAATATATTGGCTATGTATTAAAAGAAAAGACTTGATTTATTTAATTATTTTACCTGCTTGAGTCTGTCTCTTAAGATTCTCGTCACTTTTCAAGCACAAAACTTTTAGGACCCCCGAGAGCAACTGTCGCGAATATTTTCGCACATGTACATGCGCGAGTGGTCATCACGTCTACCTGGTCCGCCGATCGATGATCGTTAATTGCGAGTCGTGAAAACGAAAGAGCAAAGCTCGAAAGTAAGGGATGGAAAAGTGGCGAGGGGCGAGGCGGTCGGAAGGGTACCGATATTGAATTAGAAGCGATAAATCCCACCCTGCCATGCCGACTTCAGTATTGGGGCAAGAGAGGGCACGACGGAATAAGGGGCTCGACGACGGGAACTTTGACTCTCTCGGGTGGTCGCGAGTGGCGGGAACGGCGATAAAGAAAGCAGTGAAACGAATATTAAAAGTCGAAACCGATGTGATCGGGCGTGCCAATCGGTCTCCAAGCCCGTGCGACCTGATTCAGGGAAAAACTTAACATACTTTCTTCTTCGTCCTAATATATATTAGAAACTTTTCAATTATATGATTGATATAATTCTCTTCAGGTTTTAAAACTAAAGTAAACATTATCGCAACACATGTGTATTTTATGGCTTAAAAATTTATAATAAAATTTTATACGATAAAAAATAAAAAAAGTGTCTTATCTTGACTATTACAGTAAAATATTAATTTGTTACTGTTCAGTTCTACCTGTAAAAGAATTAATTAGAACTCAATGAGATCACTGCACACTGAGCGATCTTATTGGATCTGAAGATAAGTACACATTTGTATATGCAACAGAAAGGGAATCGGTTTATATCGATTTATTATGCGATAAAAAAAATGCGGTAGGAAAGGATTAATGAGAGAGCACGATCCTTTTTGTGTTCGCAGAGCTGCGTGCAGTTTCTACGATCCAACGAGTCCGCCGTACTCGAGGCCGTAGGGCTGGTACCGTCCGGCGAGTCCGTCGAGGTCTTTGGCGAGCACGGGGGTGCGAACGGGATCGGCGGTGGCAATCAGTGCTCCGCTCATTACGCCATGCGCTCAAATTCTAATCCCGGCGCCATTCAGCACGCGGTGGGCAGCAACGCCGCGGGCGCGTTGCACCATTATCCTGGCGTTGCTCATGCACCGAAACGCCGTGCCTCCGACACCCCGTGAGTGTGAACAAGGCATCGCCTTGTGCTCGCAGATGCATGGCGATGGTTCTCAACCATCCGTTAGACCTTATCGCTATTCGTCTGCTCGAATTAATTATTTTGGACGAGATAAATGAACGGAATTCAATTTAATTGGCTCATTAATAGACAACTATAATTTCCCATCCAACTCAATGCCAATACGCGTATAGAGCGCGGATAATAAATTGCAGATAGTTTTTGAAAGAATTGTTTAAAAGAAAAAAAAAGAATTTATTGCATGTATAACGGCATTCCAGACTCGTATTGGCCTCGAATTAAAATTATAATAATTAATATTATTTTGCCATTCTAAATTTTTGTACGTGATGTTTGTTTGATGAATTATCCTAATTTACAACTAAACATTTATTTGTTAAAATGTAAGACCAAAATAATTATAATTAAAATACGTATGTATATATATATATATATATATATATATATATATATATATATATCGAAGAAACGAGCACACTGCGGTAATTTTCTCTCCACACACGATCGACGAAGAAAAATATGCGCAACACGAGTAGACGCGTAAATTATTGCCCAAATTGTGTTCTTCACGCGGCAAGATCGCGTGGAATCTTCTCGCTCGTCTATAACGATAATTTACGCGATAATAAACGCCATGCAGCTGCGGCTGCGCGTACCTATATACGCGCGTGTAATACGTTCGCCAAACCGCAAATGCTGTAGTTTCGGAAAAATCTTGGCCGCCGGCCTGAATATCTCGCTGATATTTATCGCAATCGAATACTCATTAATGCGAACCCGATTCTGCATGTTCGAGATTTCGTTAATATTGATAGTCCACATGAGAGTGTCCCGAAATGCTGATAAAAAGGGATATTAGCAATCCCGAATGGAAGTTCGCGATTTACATAGAATCTTCGAATATTTTAAAGGCTGATTATAATTATGTATTCGGATTGTATTTTTTTTTTACATCAAGATATTAATATTTATTGAATTATAAGCCTTTGAGTACGAATAGAAGAAGAAGAGTAATTTCGATCGAGATTTCTTAGTGCTCCACACTCGTCCCACTTGCCAGGCTCCGCTGCGAATCGAGGTGTTGATGAAATCAACGCCGGACGGTCGGGATTTCCGGTCAGGATGATATGCACGTAGACGCCGCGAGGAGTAGAGAG